ACAAACAAAAAAAAGTGCCAACTGAAAGACCTAACTTAAAGGAGGGGGAATATGGTCAATATACTCTTTATACTTGTATGAAAGTAGAACAAAAAAACCTGTTGAAATTATTTTAAGTGAGAATGAGGGGGATAGAATGATGGAGGGGATGAATCCAACCAAGGTACATTGCAAACATATATGGAAATATGACGATGAAAGTCCCCAGTACAACAAATATATGCTAATAAACATCTTTCAAACAAAACAAACACAGAGGCCTGAGACCCTGACTGGGAGAGGAGCTTAGATGGGAGGTATCTTCTTGGCACAAGGCCATTGTTAGGAAGGATGGATAGGCCTAAGAATCAGCAGAAGAACAAAAGGGCTCCTTCAGCCTTTACCTGAACAATGGGGATGGACTGTGGAGTTCCTGAAGGCTTCTGCAGTTTGCAGTGTGGCCTCTGGGTCCTAGGCAATGGGTGCACAGTCCTGCTCGCCCAGCCTGGCGCTGGTGAGGCGGTGGCATATTCAGAAAACCCACCTTCTGGAGCCACCTGGCTCGGCATGATCTCTGATTTGAAAGCCCTTGTTTTGTTCCCTTCTCACATTTTCAACACTGGAATCTTTGAAAAATGCAGATCACATTCTGGAACTCCTTTGGTCATTATTTATCATTGGTTTTGTTTTCCCATCTTCAATAAAACCCATACCCTTTCCTGTGGAAACCTGGGGTCTCTCCAAGCTCCCCGACCTTCCCCTTGGCCCAGACCTAAGTCACCTTGCTCCGGCCACAGTGACTTTTGTTTCCTGAAACACACCAAGCCCATGCCCACCTCCCCACCATAACTTCACACCAACTCTTCCTTGTTCAGGCTGCCCAGAAAATGGTGCCTCCCCAGGGAAACCTCCCGTAACTGAGTCTCCATCATGAAATTAGCACTCTTTTCTCTTGTGAGACACTTGAGCCATTCTCCCTCCTTAATCAAAATTTAAAAACCAAAGAACACATTATTTCTTTTGAAACTCAGACAAAACCTGAATAAGTTCTCTAGCTCACTTGCTTTTAGTTAGTTCCTTCCTTTTGTCACTTTTGACACAAAAGGACACAATAGCCACAAATATCCACTTATAAGAAATATCCTAAGTAGGCAAATCCATGAAGAAAGTACCCATGGGTGCTGGGGGCTGGGGAGAGTGACTGCATAACACCTGCAGCATTTCCTTCAGGAGGTAACATGTTCTGGGAGATGACTGCAGAGTGTGCACAGCACTGTGAGTGTACTGTCACTGAATTGCACACTTTAAAATGGCTCCAATGGTAAACTTTATGTTACAGGTGTTTTACCATAATTTTAAAAAACAACTAATTAGAAAACAGAAAATGGTAGTTACACTTTCCAGTTGCATAACTCTGTCAGGTCTAATAAAAGCTTCAGATCTAATGTACAACATGAACACTGTAGTTGCTATTGTGCTGTATTTGGGATTTTGCTAAAAAAGTATCATGAGTTCGAGGCCAGCCTGAGCTATATAGTGAGTTTCAGGCCGGCCTACGCAACACAGTGAGGACCTGTCTCAGAAAAAGAGAGATTAATTTTAAATGCTCTTGCCACCAAGGGAGGAGGGTTATTATGTGAGATGCTGGGTATTTTAATTTGCTTAATTACAGTAACCTTTTCACAAATGTATATCAAAAAATCATCAAGTACACCTTGAATATGTTCAATAAAATAAATTTAAAAACTAAAATTAGGTATCTGTAAACCTCATAGGGTCATTCATTCTACAGGAATAAGAAGTGAAAATGCAAGAAATAAGAATTAGAATTATCACGTGCAGACATGAAAAATAGATGCATAATACTGAAAACTTCACACAGCAAGCCACCTCTTGGTAAGAAGAAAAGAAGAGAGGGTGGAAAATGCCATCGCGGTCTGCTTTAACTGCAGTTTGATGAGAAATGTCTCAGCGCTGCTGGCGCTGGCTGGACCCCAGTGGGCAGGGCTGTTTGCTGGACTGAGGAATCTGCCACATCTTTCTTTAGGACATAAAAGCAGCTGGTGCATGAACAGCGGCTGCTGGAAATGAGAACAGACGCTTCCTGTGTCTGCCCTACCTTCGCAGGCACACAAGATCCATGGAGCTAACAGCACTCATCTGGACAGGACAATGGAAAATGAGTTCCTGCTACTGTCTTGCCTTAGTCTTTGAAAGTTTGAGTGGCTCCACAATAAAAAGTCTCCAGAATACATATGCTCAAGTGCTAGAAGTTCCAGATGGGCTCTCAAGGCACTGAAACTGAAGTGGCTTTGCTCATGGAAGGTTCTGCAACCAGGCCAGCTAGAGGGTCACTGCCTAATGGAGCCATGCTTATTAATGCCTCCCCTACCTCTCCCTCCTTCACCCTGAAATGATACTCACCATGCCAGCACCAACCCAAGCCCTACTGTACCTGGAATTTCTACCACACCATTTTTGAATTTCATTTGTTCCTGTAGTTTTCTCTCTTCCAATCAGATAGCAAGAGACCTGGTGGCCAGAGCTTGTCCTTGCAATCTTGGGGGTCCCACAGTGGTATGCAGCTCTGTCTTCCAGACACCCTCCTCCCTCTATTCTAACAGCACCATGACTTTCCCTTGCTGGGCCAGTTACTCACTGTGATTTGGCTTAAGCCAGTCAGTTGTGATTTACTCCAGAGCAGTGGAAAAGCTCTGGGCTTTTGCTGAAGTTCCTGGTAAGAGATTCTTGTCCCTAGGAATTGGTATAGGAGCTGCTGGTGACCATCATGAGCAACTCTCAGTATGCTTGTCTGAGAATAAAGTCCCACAAGAGGAGACCAGAGTTAGGAGTCAGCAGAGTCCTGACGGTGTGGTTCTAGGCTCTCAGCTATGAGAGCCAACGACCTCCCTCCTTGTTGGCTGGTTGCTCCCAACTGGAATAATGCTGATGCACCTCTCAGCATTTCTCACAGGCAGAATAAGCACAAAAGAAAAGTTTTTCTTTTTTTTTTTTTTTTTTGATACTACAGATAGAATCCAGGGTCCTGGGCATACTAGGCACACCCTCCCTGGACCCCTGTAAATTAAAATGACTCAATGATAGGGACTTTGTAGCTATGTCTAGGGTGGTTTCATGAAGTGTTTATTTTTTGCATTAAACAGTGTTTATTGTGGCAAAGTATGTATAACATTTATCATAACTTCACAGCTCAGTGTTATCACGTATGTGCACATTGCTGGGCAACCATCACTATTCTCCATTTCCAGGACTTTCTTGACACCTGAATCTGAAACTGTCTCCATTACACACTAATTCCCCTTCCTCTAGTAACCTTTATTCTACTTTGTTTCTATAAATTTGAGAGTCTAGTCCCATAAGTGAAATCATACAATGATTATCTTTTTTGTGACCGGCTCATTTCATGATGTGTTCAAGGTTCATTCATGTTGTAGCATGGGCCAGGATTTCTTTTTAAGGCTGGGTAATATACCATTGTGTATTTATACTACACCATGTTTACCCACTCACCTCTTGATGGAACTCTTTGGAATAATGCTGCCGTGAGCACTGGGGCACAGATATCTGTATGTGCCTCTCATCTGAAGCTTGTGGAGTACATGCCCGTAAGTGGAACAGCTGAACCACGGTGCTGTCTTCTACAGCAGCTGCACCATTAACATTTCCACCAGTGGTACACAGGGTTTCAAGTTCATATTCTTACCAACACTTGCTTTTTGAAAATATTTTATCAAGGTGGAACTGTGCTAATGCTGGGAATAGAACTCATTTCATTAGTTCATCTTGATGAGAAGGAAATTGTTGGGTTAATGAAACATTAAAGGCAGAAGCTTTGGCCTGAAATAGTTCCTTCATGCTCTTTGGGACACATTTCTCTGCAAACCCCTCCACCAAGCAACACTGACAGACTGGGCTGTGGATCAGTGTGAGGGCATCCCCTCTGCTACACCCTTTGGCCACACCTTTCCTAGGTGGAGGGTCAGAGCTGGACATTTGGCTTGTAGAGAACCAGCTTCCTCATGCCCTCATCATGCCCTCTCATTTTGGCTTTTGCAATGAGAATGAAGCTGGACTATTATACAGAGTCCAGTAAGACTGCAACACGATCGTGTTTGCAGGAGTGCAGCCCCACGGGACGTGTGCCTAGCTATGTCTCTTCACAGGATCTCCTCCACTTCCCTCACTTCTCCAGAGTGTTGAGTTCCCCTTGACTGCCTAAGAAGCATGGAGGGCATGCGAAATGTGAGGCTCAAGACCACACTGCCAGCTTGTAAAGACTTTATTTCTACTTCATCATGGTCTCATACAGACTCCGAGGCACCAACATTTGTCTCAATTTGGCATCCTCGTGACTTTTTGTAGTGTTTTTCCTTAAACAAGAAAATGTTGAGTGAACTCTGTACATTGCCAGTTAATGCTTTAACAATAATTTAAAAATGTTGCTGTAGTCTCATTGATGCAAGGGACCAACAATAATAGTACAGTACAAGGAACTTCACGACACATTACAGTGAACCAGACCAATGTACACATAGGAAAGGGCGAGGACAGAGCGGCGTATGTACATGTACCCAAAGACATGCGGCTGGGCGAAACATGTGGATCACACAGTGAATTTCCTATGCCCATCTGAGGACTCTGTACTTTTTCAAAAAATGTTGACCTGTACCCCTCCAGTTGACAGAACGTTCCTCGTCTACTGGCTTCATGTATTTCTACTACAAAAAGTTCACTGAGTTAGACAGCCTGAAGCACTTTAAAAAAATTCCTACAAAATCATTAACACTGACAAAATAAAATTAACTTAAAACACTCTAAATTCAACATGGAGATAAATCCAACTAAAATGGAACAGTGCAAATATAACAAAGAGGCAGTCAGGATTGAGAGCGAGGGTGTTCAGAATCTCTTTAAATGTCCTTTTTTTAAAACTCTTATATTTTAAATCTATACCTTATTCACCTTTTTGTTTAATATATTGTATGTAAAAAAGATGGAGACAAAAATAGTTTTCTGAGCTGTGAAAAAATTAAGTTATTACAGGCACATTTACTGTTTCATTCTAGAAACATCTGTTTCACAGGTTGAACATTCAGCAGCTGTTTTTATTTTTATTTTTATTTTTTAATAAAAAAACATTCTTCAACCTTGAGAAAACTAGAGCTCTCCTTTAGGGCAGAGTTTGGTTCATGATGATGGTGTGGTTATGCAAATTACAGTGAATTATTCTGTGATAATCCATGCAAGCTTGCATCACAGGTGTGGCTTCTCCTCTGGTGGATCCTCGTCACCGTGTTCCTCCAAGGATGTTGGGTCTCCAAGTGATTGAGACTGTGAGGCAGTGGGGTAAGGAGGGGCCCACCGGGACGGAGGGCGACGGTTTGCTGGTCTCTCGGGCCTGGAGAAGCAGGGCTCTAGGGATGGTGCTAGCGCAGAACAAGGTAGTTCCTTTGGAGCCAAGAAAGGGGAGACATCATTACTCAGATGGGCAATTTCATCAGTGGGTAATTTCCCCAACATACCTTGCAACAGATGCAAGTCAAATGGAAGAGACAATGGGCAACTTCTGAACATGAATGAATATTTTGCTTATGGAGCATAACTTAAAATGATCAGCAAAGAATTCAACACAAATGATCAGTGACATGAATGGGAAAGGTATCAAATTATGATCAAAATAAGACAAACCAGTGAGGTGGGTCTGCTTACAGAGCTTCTCCAGAATTGGGCTGGAACACACAGAAGATAGGGAGAGCAGCTGTGTTACCTCATCATAGTCCCACCCAGGCAATCCCTTCCCTGGCCCTTTTGAAGGACTCTTTAGTCACAATGAAACTGTCCATCAAGGTCCTAGCCTACTAGCAGCCCACAGAGAAACCTATGATTTCATCCAGCTGTATTAGCAATAAACCTCATCTTAAAATGAACTCTGCTACTGTTTATTTCAAGCTGACTGGCAGTAGGCTAAACAAACTCCCACAACGTGGAAAAAATGCTGCAGGTGGAAATTTTAATTGAGGTCTATTTTCTTTAATGACTATTCAACATTGTAGCATTTTTACAAACTGGAATCAGAGTGCAGTTGTGATTCTGTTTTCCAGCCACCCTAATGTTCTGAGAACTGATCAGATAAAACACTGAACCACTACCAAGGCACCTTAGTTTTAAAACAACATTAAATTACTTGTCCCTCGCCTGCATGTTAGGAAACAAGGACACCAGAAATGCTGCAGGTATATAGAAATGTAGAAAGTCATGGCCTGAAGAAAGTGAGTGATGCAGCATGGAGCCTGATGGCACTAACTCAGAGAGCCCAGGTGATGAATTACTGCAATGGAAGGCACAGCAAGAATGAAAGAACAGGGACCCAAAAGAAACTCAGGAAGTGAATCGAGGATTTAAAGAGATGGCAAGCAATGGAAAAGACCAGAATGAAAGTTTAACCAGCTGAGCAAGTGACCCATGAAAGGGGAAAAGAGACAGACCATTGAATAGGAGAGCAATGACACACAGGAGAAGATGGAACCCAGCAGGGGATGTGTGAAGGTGGCCAGTGCAGCCTGAGGACAGTGTAGGATTCTGGAAGAGGCATGGGATGAAGGGACAGGGTGGTTTCTTTAGCTCCCAGTGGGATCCACAGGAAAGAATAACACTTCAGGGCTTCAGGACACCTGTCTCAATTGAAGCTGGCACCTTGTGGGAGGAGCCTCCATGAGTAAAGGACTTTCTCATGGGATGGTGACACTTAGACTGTACATATGGCTAACATGCCACAGGTGCCACAGAGATACAAGCTAAGCCACGGTGATGCGGTGTCCTCTCTGTACACCTCCACCAGGGCTGTGGGACTTGGTCTGGGAAAAGTGATGCTGGTGTGTCCCTGCTCCCAGTACGGTAAGTGCAGTGAGTGCTGTGTGCATGTTGCCTTGGTGAGGCTGCTACAGGTTTATTTAGCCTTTGCTCCCACCTGGCTGAATGCTTCTCAGGAGACTCTGTGGCACCACCTCTTCACTAGTGTCATGCCAGTCATGTGGCCGTGAGGTCAAGGGAAAGAACCTTTCCCTGTGGTGGCCCCTGTTGGTCCTGAGATGCTGCCCTTGTAACATGTGTCATAGAAATGGCTTTCCCCACACTGTCTTGGCCATCTTTTCTCTCTGACAGCTAACTCTACTTCTGTACTTAACTTTGGGTTAAGGCAAGAGGATGAGGTGTGTGGTGACTATCCTTGATTGGAAGGGAAGTGTCTCATGTGCTTCATTAGATTCAGGCTCCAAAGGCTATTCTCAGGACTTCAAAATACTTAAGAGTGGGGATGGCTTTGTTGTCTATTCATTCAACAATTACCAAGCACCTGTGGTCTCATTTGGAACAAGACCCATTTGGGGTTATTCTGTGTGGTGTGATTGTTTGAAAAAAAAAAATTAGAAAAGAGTCAGCTCATCACAGCTACACCTCACTCCAACATATGGCAAATGCATAGGTGACCTAATGCCAGTGAGCAGGGATGGGTGGCTGGGGCTACAGGGCTGACCAAAGCTGGACTCAAAGACTCCCTCAGGCAAGACCCTATACCTGAGACATCCCATCCAGGCCAACCTCTCTTTCCTGGAAAGCATTCTGGCTATAAACTCCACAAGAAAGGCCAGTTCTCAGTAGAGTGTTTATAACCCGAGAACCTTTCTTCCTACAAAGCGGTCAGCCCTCGAGTGGGGCAAATGGGGATGCCCAGGTTGACCAGTCTGCTCCCAGGATGAGTGAGGGACTTCATGGTAACAAGTGTCAGGTGTCAGGCATGAGAAACGCAAATTACACACATAACTCTCTGGATAGCTGGAGAAGGCACTTACAGCGTGAGGCGGGCAGGGCTAGAGTCCCCACGGGGCAGTTAGTAAGACAGTTTGGTTCTGGACAGAGAAAGAAGAGAAAAGCAAGTGGGTTGGAAAGTGTGTTTTAAACAGGAGATCAGTACAAGTTTAGTCAATAAGCATGGTGACAGAGGTGACACCAGGAGAGAACTGAGGTCCTTCACATTCACTCCCAGGTGGGTGTGGGGAGGTGGCTGTGGCATTCAGCTCACAGGCCTGTCCTCTGCCACCTGCCACAGAGCAAAGAAGAAACCACGACAAGGAGCTGTGGGTCTCCCTTGCTGTTCCCACTCTTCCAGAGCCACCCGTAGCACTGAACTCTCCACCAGCCATCAGCAAAGGGAGACGGAAGCCGCATGACTGTTGTGTGGAAACAGAGGCCATTCTGCAACTGGGGTTGTTCTGGTCACAACCATGAAGCTCCTGCTGCTTGTGCTCATTTCCCACTCAGATATGGGAGGGGCCAGCTTCTGTCAACAGTCTTCACTCCTCACACACAGCTGCTCTCTGTACTGCTGCACTGTGCCATGGCCTCCAGAGAAAAAGAGGCCAGAGATGTTGGTGGGATAAGAGTGAGTGAAAAAAGACATTTCCTGCCTCTCAGGTCATTAGGGTGTCAAGGTCTCCAAGCAAATGATCAGGACAGATTCCACACAGGTGCTTGTGGGGCCTGGGAGACCAGAAGTTGTTTTGGAATGAAGGGCTAGAACTGCTGCGGAATTCATGGGAGGCAGGAAGGGGTTTCCCATGGCTGTAACACATTTAGTCAATTCAAATGGAGTAATTCTGCTGGAATCTACACAAGCTAATTTCTGACAGAAAAGGAAAGAAGACCCCCATGGCACAGAGACACTGCCAGTGAGTTTCTGTGCAGGTGTAAGCTCTGAAACTCTCTGTGCTCCCAGATAATCATCTCACTTGGTAGCAAACACAAGAGGGAAAAACCTAAACACATGCTTTACAAAGGACAAAGGGAGGAGGGCAGCTTTACAACGTGATCATTTTCATGACATAGCGCTGAGACTGTCAGTGAACGATTTTCTCTATATTACCACAGATTGTGTGAAATTCTCACTGTCAGTTGTTCAAAGCTTTTTTGGTTCCTATAGACACAGGGCTGGAGGCATAGCTCAAGCGGTAGAGCACTTGCCTAGCATAAGCAAGGACCTAGGCCCAATCTCTAGTACCACAACAACAACAAAAAAAAAAAAAAGAAAGAAAGAGAGGAAAACACTACAGACCCAGAGTGTTAATAATGCTTTAAGACAAAGCTCTGGTTTTAACTGATTCCTCCAAAGCCCTAAGGAGACAGGGTATTCACATACAAATAGACACCTACTTCCCCAAGCCACATGTACTCATCTGAGCGCTCAGAAGGCTAGGGATGAGAACACCAGCCAGTTGTTAATTGAGAACACTTACCCAGCAGCTTTGTCTTCAGTGAGGTATAAAGGTCTTTCTCACCAAATCTCAGATCTTTGGAACACTAGTCCACATGCCATCATTGGTTGTATTAGGTTGAACCATACAGAATTGCTGTATCTGTAGCTCATTGGCAATTCAACAGGCTTTGAACTAGTTCAGATTTAACCTCTGTATTTTGAGTTAAATATTGGTTGGTGGGCTGGACTGGGAATCTTACCACCATTTGTCTCTCATGGGAAATGTGAGTCAGGTGACCCAAGAAATTTACCTTCCTCCTCTCCTCACTCCCAAAGCCAGGGCTGCCTGGTGGTGTTGAGAAAGTGGCGGGGTGGCCCCGCGGTGGCCCTAATGCTATCTTCCTTCTCCTGACCATGGCTCTAGGCCAGCATGCAAGGTTTAGAGAATGTTCCTGTGTCGTGTGCTCATCTAAGCTCCTGATGAGTCTCGTTTACTGGTCAGTGTCACAGCCTGACTACTTGCTGTCCTTTCAGTGCTGCAAGCACGGCAAAGCCAGTATCCCCACTGGCATTGTCACTGAACTTTATTAATTGGGGCCATTCTTGGTGTAGAAACTGGATTCTTTTTTTAATGGTGGTGTGGTACAAAAATGCGTAACAAAACAGAATTCGAGGATGACTGGTTTGTGAATGTCAGAGGACAGTCATCATCGTCATATTGTTTAAGGCAATATTTTTGATTTTATTCGTTTCACCTGGTTTTATGGCAAGGGGGGATTTACCAACACAAAGAGGGTGATTTATAATGACAGACTGCTGATCTGCACTTGTACTAAGGCCAGCCAGGAAATCCGAATGCAGCCCGCAGAGTTCCTGATGAAAGACATGCTCTAGTCATGGGGTCCAAATGTTCTCCAACTCACCTTGAGTCCTGCCACAGGTAAACTGCCTATGGCATGGGAAAACCCTGACATTCACAGTCCACACACGCGCAGTTTTCACCTGTGTGTTTTCATACACACACGCACACACACACACACACACACGTGCACGCGCACGCACGCAGTTTTCACACATGCTCCAAATCATACAGAAAGAGGACAATTTATGCCCCCCAGGGGCAAAGCTCACATAACAGATAAACATAATTACTAAGAGGACAGAGCCTGAATCAAATCGTATCCTCAATGATTTCTGAGGACAGTAAAATGACATTGTCTTCATAGGATGTTCAGGATTGGTGTTTCTGCCTATCTCATTCTCCCATGCACCCCACCCCTCCCCAGGACACAACAAACAATGGTAGACAGAGATTCCTAAAATCACTACCCAGTTTCCACCCCGGGTTTCCACATGCAGGCAGCTAAATGAGGAGCTGGCATGAAAGGATGGGGCCACTCAGCATTCTTTACCTCCATGGGCCCTGGTTCAGCTGTGGCCATGTCTCCAATGTGGCTGTCGCTGGTAAGACTGGGGGTGCCGTGGGTGCCCTGTCTCCTCCCCTCCTTTAAGGCATGCTCCAGCAGCTTCTTGTTAAGGATCCGGGCAACACTCTCGGTAAGCGTGTAGCCAGGGGGAGCAGACAAGTCCTGCCTCACTGGCGTGCCATCTCCCCCATCTTCCCTGCACGTCTCTGAGCCCAAGCCAAGAGGGCTAGGTGACCGTCCTCGTGAACTGGTGCCTGTTTCCTGGCCTGGGCCCAGCTCCTGTCGGGGTTCTGCTGAGCGAGACCGACTCCCTGCCCACACACCCTTCTGGAAGGGGTCCTGCACCACAGGGCTGTGGTCAATAATATTGAAGAGGCTGGAGAGGCCATCATTGATGGTGGTGTGCACAGGGCTCTCCCTTGTGGTGGTAGAGCGGGCCCAGGCCGACTCACTGTACCCTTTCAGGGCCAGCCCTGGTGAGGCCTTGCTGTTTGGCTGCTCAGTTTTGGAGAGGGGCTTCCTCTGTAGCTTAGGAGAGCCAAACTTGGGGGAGCAGCAAGTGCGTTCAAACTTGGCCTGTACCTTCTCGATGGCAGGGGCCACCTGCCTGCTCCTGAGGCTGCGGGAAGGAGAAGACACAGGTGTAGTGCCACCCCCAGCCTTTGGTGTGAGACACTTGTGGGGGCTGCTGGTGATGCCACGCAAGGCTTCTGTCTGCAGGCCCACGCTGATGGTCTGGACAGTCTGTGTTCCTGCTGTCCGGGACCCATTGGTCTGGCAGGCCATGTCCCTGACTTGTGGCTCGGTGGGACCAGTGCAGATGGCATTCCTGACAGAGAAGGCCACCTCCTTCATATCATCACTCATGTTCTTAGACATATCTAGGCTGTGCAACGGGGAGGCAAACTTGAGGGAGGGGCAGAAGGGGCCATCGAGGGGCCGGAGAGCCCCTTCCACATAGTCTCGGGGATGTCTGGAAGGGGCACAAGGCCACCTGCTGAGCATGGGCTCTGGGTGCCCTCCCCTAGCATCTCCCAGGCTCCCTCTGGCTCTGCTTTGGGGAAAGGGACCCTCAGAGTCCAGCCAGCTCCTACCCTCATTGCCTACCGGTACAATGCTGTCCACCCTGCGTACAGCAGGTGGGCTATGCAACACGCGAACCCCAGACTGCTCAGTGAGGACATGGCTCCGCAGTGGCAGCTTCTGGCAGTGCTCTGGGCTGGTCATAGTGTCTGTGGTCATGGTGACACTCGTGGTCAAATACCAGGATGAGTCAGGGAAAGGCTCTGTGGTGGCCTCATGCCCTGCCCGCCCCACCTCAGTCCTGTCTGCCCAGAGGTCTGGAGGCCTCTCGGTCCCAGCCCTTGGGGGCGTGTAATCCCAGCTCTTGCTGTTGAACTCCTCGATGTACTTCAGGTCATCAGGAGACAGGGGCGGAGTGACATCCTCCTTGCTGCTGGCAGATGGCAGGCCCTTCTCAGGTAGGAAGGGAGAGACGTCTATCAGGCGCTGGAACTCGGACATGCAGGATACAGACACAGCTCTGGAAAGGCAGAAAGCAGAGGGTGTTAGCAGCTAGTAGGAAACCCCAACTATAGCACCTGTGTCCTACCCTGCTCTGCATGAGATATACCCACAAAGGTGACCCCTGCCCCCAACCTCAGCTGCTTGACGTTTGTCTACTCACAACTCGCCCTGCAGATATTTCTTGGATTTTTTTATGGCTCTGGAGTTGTCCCTGCAGCCTTGCACTGGTTATAATTTAATATAGCCACCCCTTACTACCATGGAAACAACTAGAAGGGTGGGCTATCCTGCAGTCACAGCTCATTCCAGAGTATAGCTTGGCCTCTCCATCCACAGTTAGAGGCTCTAATGACACACTATTGTGTGTGACTTACTGAGTGCCAATTTCTCACAAGCTCCCACATCCAGCAGAGATGAATCCCCATCCATCCCCACCCCTATCTATAATGAGCTAATGTATGTGGGAGAGAGAATGCAGTGAAATAGCTATAATCTAAATCTCTGTTCACCCAAACAGTCTGACCTCTATTAACTCACAGTGCTAACAACCTCCAAAACCCACTTGGAAGATACAAGAGAAAGAAGGGAAAGAGAATGGAAATCATAATCAGATTGGCACACATCTTTCAAACACATCAAATAAAAACTCTATCTGGCCCTAACCAAATTCACTAGTGAGGTTCATTCCCCTTTCTTCTCTGCCCTCTTCTTTATGGCTAATCCTTTATGATTGTTAGTTTGTGTTCCTCCTTCATGTCCCAAGTAGGAGGAAAACTCCCCCAGACACAAGAATACAACTGAAGGGTGAAGACAGGTGAGTCAAAACAACGTCAGTGTTTAGTAAGCTGCCACCTGACAGACATGCGGTTGGATGTGGACACCTCAAAGTGAGCACTTTAACTCCATAGATTTCAACTTGACACAAATTCACTGAGTGCCTCCCAGGGGCCCATAGCTACTAGGGAGATGCTCAAATGCACATCTGCCAAGCCTAGAGGTGGCTAGAGTGTTGGGCAGCTTGTCAACCCACCAGAGTAAATAAGTGGTCAGGAGGGAGGCTGGGGGCTGGCTGTGCCCACTGACAGGAGACAGAACCTCAATGAACTGGAATCTTCTCCTGGGCCAGGCACTGCTTTGTCTCATGTGTATTGAAACATGCAGGCTGCAAAAATTTTCCAAAGCCCTCCTATTTACAGATAAGGAAACTGAGGCCCAAAGCAACCCAAAGTAATGGGGCTAGTAAGAGGCAAAAGTGATCAGAACCCAGGCAGTTTGGCTCTGAGGCTCGAGCCCCCAAGTGCTGCTCTACACTGTCCAAGGAATGATCAGAGAAGACAGAGCAAAGGACAGAAACATACCCCAGCACCTATATGGGCTGCATGGATCTGACAGCAGAATGGGAAGATGGTCATCCACACACTACAAGTTCATGAGAAAATCAAGCATGAGGAGAACTGAAAATGGTAATCTGCCTGAGAAGTTTCATGTAGTTGAAACTACAGAGGAAAGAAGTTAAAACCAGAGAAAGTGAGACTGGCAAGGAGAAAATTGGTTTGTAACTAACACCAGCACCATCAACCACTATGGATTTTCTTTAGGGATTACTGCCAGGGAACATTTTTAGTAAATCCTCCTAGTAGAACTTTCAAATAATTAGTATATAAAATGTCTCTCATATCAAGAGAAGAGAGTTTTCCACAGACTTTTCAAAGACTATATTATCAGACTCAAGCAGTACTGTGTACGTACAATGCAACTGAAACTGGAAAGGTCCTACCATAAATCTAATGTACACACAAACACAGCATGTGTTGCCTTGTTGTTGCCAATCCTCAAAAATAACAAATTTATAAAGTTAGTAATAAAAAAGTGACAACTTACAGTTAAGTGTAAGACTGCATCAAGAAGATGGAATTTTAAAAACTGATGTTTATATTAGTAATCTGTATTTTCATCCATCTTACTTACCTTTGAAGATTTCCCTTGTGATTTTCTTCTTCCTGCAAAGAAGAAACAAGTTCATCTGACTCAATGAATTTTGGTTGCCTATGAGCCTTGACTATGCTAAAGTGATTTGCTTCGCTCTACTGTCCCTGGGAAGATGCATGCCATTTATAATGTACACTGAGGCCAGGTGTTGGTCAGGAGTGCTCCTACTCCTAAGTTCTTTGACATCCATTAATAAAAGCAGACTCCACAGCATAATGAGGGGTTTAGAGCTTTGGCAGTTCAGGGAGGGGCCTGTGTGAGGGAAAGAAGCTGGCTATAAACTTGTCATGGAGAAAGTGGCATTTCTGTGCTTCCCCAAAGGACCTCCCAACCGCATGGATTTGAGTTGACTCTTGCAATGACCTGAATAAGTCTCAGTATGAATGTGGGTTGGGGGCGGGGTGGGAAAGGGGAGATGGAGGGTGGCAGAGCGAGTTAGGAGATGTCCATTAGTCCAAATCTTGCTATGCAGGTTGCTGTGCAAGTTGCCAGAGAACAACACAAACACAAAGCTGTCTATTGAGAAAATACTCTTGCCCACAAGGTTTTGAAGAAGCAAGCCTGTGATAATAAAGGAAGGGCAATATACTTCCCGAGTGAGCCTGCCCTAGTCTCTGCCATGCAGATGGGTAGGGCGGCCCCAGCCACCACACAGTTGGAACTAGGACAGTGTTCCTATTCCAGCCGCACATCCTCTCTGCTCTGACACCGGACCACACGAGATTGCCCATAGATGCAACAGAGAGGAACTGTGATGATGCCCTCCAACCTGATATGTGTTGCTAAAGACGAGGCACTTGACCTCACTGTTGTGGCTGAAGAACAGGTGAAGTGGCCCATAACTTCAAAGTCCAAAATCCAAAGGGCTCCAAAATCTGAAACACCCTGAGTCCCAACATTTGTTTTATGCTCAAATTTATTAAACATACGAATAAAATTATCTTTAGGCCATGTGTACGAGGTACATATAAAACATAAATGACTTCTGTGTTTTATTTGAGTATCCAAGATATCTTATTATGTATATGCAGATATCCCAAACTCTGTAAAAATAATAAGATTGAACCCATCCGCATTCCAGCATTTCAAATAAGGGACATTCGACCTGTACCATTTCCCCATGTTTTAACAGCATATCTGATATGAACTCTTCTAAGTATTAAGTGTATGGGAGACCAAATGAAGGTGCAGCAACTTCAAGTGAATTCACAGATAATGATTCCTAATATCAATCTTCAAGATAAGGTTTTGTTTTTTTTTTAATATAACCAGAAAAAAGTAAGAAATACAGTGCCATGGAAATTTCAGTACATAGCTCAACTCCCCCATTTGGTACTCTAATTTATATCTGGTTTCTATTGTTGGGTTTTTCCCCCTTGCCCTAGATATTCATGGCATGTTATTGTTTAGCAATATTTGCTACTTCCAAATATTAGGAAATTTCTTCAATAATAATGTTCTAGAATCAGAAAACAATACTATGATTTTGAGAAAAGTTGAAAATGCACACTTCCCAGAATTATTTACTTCCTCTTGTGCTTTTTTTGAAAACGTTCACTCTTGAGAGTTTTATTTTACACAGGACACTAGTTCAGTGTTTCTAAGCTCAAAACAAGGTGGCAAAGTTAAACTGAGCACAGATTACATAAGATGGTAAGTTAGGGTCAGGGCCACTAAGCAAAACCCTCAGCAGTGAGAAGATTTCATTTTCACTCAATTCCCAGGCTGCCACAGGAACCTGCAGAGGGCGACTAAAGTGAACACAACCCAGGCTGACCTCGAGCAGGCAGTTCCGGAGGTCCCTCTCAGGCCTGCAAGGTGGCGGCTCCTCTGGCTCCTCTGGCTCCTCGTCCAGTGACAAGGCATCCAAGTAGAGGTTCTCACTGGCTGAACACCTGTCAGACTCTTTCAGCTTGGAAAGTGGCCGATCTTCGTATGGAACAGAGTCGGTGTCCATACAGGGCCACATGGACACAGGACGGGACACACGGAGACTTCCCTGATGGGGGAAGGGGCAGATGTTGCCTTCTTTTTGATCGCAGAGGAAACTGCCACTTCTTTGGGGAGTGGTCTCTTTCTGCAACTTCAGAGTTTTCAGAATAGAAATAATTAATGTCCCTTTCTATCTGATGGTCTTCCTAAAACCACTCTTTCTCTACTCTGTGGAATGACATGTGGTTGAATCTGAAGGACTTGGTGAGAAACACATGTTCTCAAATTTTGACCTTGATTTCAAAATGTAGCACTGCCTTAACAAATGCTTTTTAAAAAAAAAAAAAATCTGCATTTGCCACATACAAATATAGCTAACTGTTTGTCATATCATGTTTTTTAGGGTTTTTTTCTTCATTTTTATTGTTACGTCTATGCCTTTGTTTGTATCTTTGAGTACTGTACTCCAGGGAAATTATATTTTTAAAATGTAATGTGGTTAGCTATTAGGAACTTCAGGCACACAACCCAAGAGATCAAGCTGGGTTGTAACCATTTAATGTTAAAAACAACTGAAACTTTGCTTGAGGGGATTAAAACTTAGCTGCAAAGGGAACTCAAGATTGCATGACTGAGAAGAACAAGACCTGATTTGGTGATCAGATACCTGGAGTCAGAAGACCTGACCCAGAGCTGTGGATTTATGTATGGCTTGCTGGTTTGCTGGCAGGGATAAGTCCCCACTTCTGCCCAGCTTTGTTTCCCTCTCTGTAAATATACAGATAGGTGAACAGGCAGCTGGTGTCCAGAAAGGACTGGCTAATATGAAGCTCCCTGGGCCAGGGGCACAAAGAGAAGTGCCCTTCTTGCCTCTTTCACAACACTAAAAGAAGAAAAATCACAAGGGACTGCTGGGACTGCCAAGAAGTGGTTCATTAGGTTCCTCTCCAGCCTCCCCATCTTCCTCACTGTCTCACTTCCTAAACACACAAAAAGCGTAATTAAGACCTGAAGCTATTTCCACCTCCAAATCTCTAGTGAGCTCTTCACCAGGTGACAAGCTCACACACTTGCCTAGATTGACTGCTCTCTTGAAGTAGAGTGAATCATCGGAATGCTAAAAGTGGGATTTAGATGTGACCTTAAGGGTGGCCAAGTAAAGATTTTCAGTCTCCAAGTGCAGGGGGAGACAGGGATGCCAGGAAATTCTAAAATTCCCTCAAATGCAAATGGATAAGTTTTAAGACAGGCATCCTTACAAACTGCATCTTAGTGTTCTTAACTGGAGCCTTCATCCACAAGTAGACTAAGTATGGCCTATGAGCCACCAGAAAAAAAGACAAGAAAGATAATGAGGACAAAAGGACTTTCACTCATTTTTAGTAATTTTGGAGGTGGTAGAACAAATGTTTCAGAGTATTCTTTTTATTTTATGAGGAAGATGGAGATTATAGCAGCCAGAGCTTAGATGTTAGCTTTTAAGGCAGGTTCACAATAAAATTAGGGAACAAGCAAATCACTCTAGGTTTTAGCTCAGCCCGTCTGCTCTCTACTCCCCCTCCCTGATGACACAGTTCTTTATAGTTCTCTTAAAGATGCTAAAGGCTTTACTTAAAAAATATAAAAAGGAAAGCTTTTTATTATGTTCTAACTCATGTCAGCACAGTTTAGTTTCAACACGTGATCATCTCCAAGCTATTTTGGGCAAGGAATTAAAATGCAAGAATCACATTGGTAGCTGTAAATGTGCATTGCGGGTATGTGTGAAGTGGGAGAAAGAATGACTAAAGAGGAGAGCTATGAACAAGCGCATTCTAAGTAAAGTGGGATTTTAAAAATAAATCCAGGCAGTCAGGAGCAGCTTGCACTAAAGCTGCTAAGGGTTAGGTTTCCTAAAAATGCACTGGAGTGGTTGTAGCTGGAGGTCTCTACAGCTGAGATGCCTCTGCGGTGTTGTAATAAAATAATGGGTCCTAAACAGAGAGAGCTTCCAGGGCAGTGAACCTACTGTACTTGCAACCTTGCAACAGAACAACTTTTTATGCAAATAGGAAATCTAACAGATTTGCATTTCAAATAACACAGGACACAATAAACCCTCAAGAGTGTCACCTTATCCAGACTGGTCAAAAGAAAAAAACCTTTTAGGTGGTAGAGCAGTTGATTTAAGAAAATTACTGGAAGGAGAATGGATGACGCACGAACTTTCCTTTTTAGCTCTGTAAGTACAGCAAGTATAGCAGCAGGTGAGGGACACCGCGACTGTTAACTGGGAACTTAACAATTCTAAAGACCAATGTAGTGTGCCTCCATGAAAGTTAACTACTCCCAATCAAACATGGGTTGAGACAGGAGTCATGGATGAGATAGATGAGATGTGTTACATGACCTCAAGCACGTTCTCACAGTCATTTATCACATAAAATGCCTTGTGTGGTGTAGAAGCGATATAGGAATGTAATGACACTGGACAACTATGAAACATGTGTTCTGGAAGTGGAAAATGGATTTAGTGTTACTTCTTTCACTGTCTGTATTAGGTTATCACAGTCAAGGTTATATGGCTTACCAAGGAGTATCGAGTGGACATTGTGAAGAATGCTTGGTTGCATTTCCTGTTTGTGTAGGGAACGCACAGCTAAAAGTTAATGAACAAGCAACCCAATGAGTGATAAAATCTACACACACCCTACATGTCCATACATCTCCATAAATACTTGAGCCAACCTCCTCTTTTATAGAGAATGCTCATGGCTACTTTACCCAAATTTTAGGACTGGTCACCAAAACTTATTTAAAAAAAAAAGTCCTCTTTAAGAATGTTGAGTGTTGAGGGGGAAAGGCTGGACCTATTTTTGAAAGCCACAATTGCATGTTTGTAGCATTCACTCATTGTTACCCAATCCTTTTGTAAAGACAGCAGTGAAATCATTGCACAAACACCATGGGATCCACCACATGGGTATTGGGAGCAGGTGCATGCCGGACACTCTTGTGCTGTGATCTGTGCTGTCCCAGGTCAACCTTGAGGACCGAGGACTAGGGTGTCCTCTTTGGCAGAATTGCTGCCAAACTGATGAAATGAAGTTCTGCTCCTGACCAGGTTTATTTTCCCAAAATACAGTCTTAAAATAAGAAAGCAACTGCTCAATCCTAGGTCACTGACTCTTCAAAGCTAGGTGCAAACATACCCAGCTTATAATTTTTTCCTCTGCTAGAAATTCCTCATTCCCCCAAAGTAAAATAAATGCCAAAAAAAACATGCTTAACTTACAGCAAAGTGTGACTTTCAAAACGGATGAAACCCACGTTAAGAACAAGAAGCCACTATGGCTAATAGGCGGACCCTTCAAGGGGCCATGGTAGGGAACATGATGGCCTCTCAGGGGTATGGGAGGAACATACAAAATGAGTGACCTTAGAGTAGAGACCATGAAGTAAGGTGCCTGATTCCAAGCTGCCTGGGATTACTGGGACACTAGTCAACTCAAGTCGGGTGTGACAGATTGGTGACCATCTTTGTAAGAATGCACACTATTTTATCCCTAAAATTTCCACCTAGCCCTGACCCATTCAACAGAGCACCTACACACAGGATTTAATCCAGGAGGCTCTTCACAAAGCTCCATTTCCAAGCCAGGAAATTCCAAATTGTCCCCTGGTAGGATTTGGGGAAATTTGAAATGGGACCATATTCAATATTAGCAAGGTGACTCATTAATGTGAGTGATCAAACTGAGGAAGAACCTCTGCTCCTTTCTGTTTGCACAGTGCTTTCTTCCTCTCAATGGCTTCTAAGTCAAAGGCCCCTGGTTTTTTGTTTGTTTGTTTTTCATTCTTCCTCCCTTCCTATCCAACACAATGTTGTACTCAACATTTGTGGTTGTCCCTCCATAACACAGGAGCCTTGTTGGTGGATAACAGAGCCCATTATCAACAGCTTCCACATAAATGCAAGCAGTATGAGTATTTATAATGGAGTAATAAGACTATTTTTCTTGATCTCAGATTCTTATTGATTAACACATATCTCTTTGAGGCTTTATGAATTTATAAATGTGCCAGGCTGAAATAAACAAATTGTATGCTAGGTAAAATTCAGCCAGAAAGGAATTCTAAATCTTCATTACTGTAACTTGAAAACTGAATTTGTGTACCACTCAGGAACTACTGCAGCCATGTAAACTGATCTACCTCTGATGCAATGCGGAAAATGAGTGTCTGGGCAGTAGACAAACAACTCCCCCGCTCTCCTCACATTTATCTTGGTTTCTAAGTCATTTGTTTACCTGCTGCTGCTGAATTACCAGCTACCTCCCTTGACTCTGGTCCTATCTAATCACAGCCTGGCAATATCCACAGCAGGTGCATTCACCAGCACACAGCAACTTCTGATTTAATTTAGCAATTTCCTCACTAATGACAATTGCATTCAGATTGGAGCAGTCATTGTGACCACATCTCTAGTGGAAAACTTAAATGTTAGTTTGCCCTTTTGGCAGAAATCACCAAATATAACCTGAAATAACCTCCTCTTTGAAAGCTAGTCTTCAAATTTCTTTGAAAAGTTTCTCCTCCACATGTACACACACAGGAAAGTTGCCTGCGATCGTGCAATAAAAAAGATATGTGCGGTGCTCAGGCACAGGCCGAGGTCTCCCACACTAGAAATTATTCTCTCTTTTCTCTGGATACCCATGAAACATCCTACCATGATAAGAACCACAAAGTATCTGATTTCCTTTCATCTCTAAGTGCTCTGGGTCCCCAGGACCACCACGTGTCTGCTGATCTCTGATGACTGGGTGTGCTTACCTGCTCAATCCTCCACAGGAGGTCCTTCTTCTGCCGCTCCCACTCTTGCCGCTCCCTGTCCAGGCGCTCCAGGAGCTCCACCTTCTCACGGTTCCAGTTCTTTTCGCTGTGATGGATCTGCCAGCGCAGGTCCATGACCAGGCCGTGGCTGTCGGCCAGGAGCTTCTGGTGCACCTCCCTCTCTGTCTTCAAGGCCCCTTTGCCCTCAGCGGGGGAGTCAAACTCTCCCAAACTCTTCTCGGTCTTCTCTTCCAGCTGTCAAAAAGAGAAGATTTAGGGAACGCCCTCCCTGAGAAGTCAGGCAGTAGAGAATACTGAGAAAAGCTCAGCATATTTACATATAATCCCTGGAAACATGTTTATACCAAGACTGAACCAATACCACAGAAGAAGAAATTTCACTGTTAAAGTCTGAATTAAGAACACCTGAATGCTGAGCACTGGTGGCTCACTCCTGTTACCCTAGTTACTCAAGAGGCAGAGATCAGGATGATCGTGGTTCTGATCCTCCTGATCACCCAGGCAAATAGTTTGCGAGACCCTATTTCAAAATAACCCATCACAAAAAGGGCTGATGAAATGGCTCAAGGTGTAGGCCCTGAGTTCAAACCCTAGTACAGAAAAAAGAACATCTGACAGAGTCATGTAGAATGCTAAGCACCAAGCCCACAGAGCTACCTACCCATCACTGGCTTCTCAGCTCTACCTGCTAGTCTCAGTCACCACCACTTCTTGTCTGTATGTCTGGACAGCTCCTGAGGGCAGGTACCATGTCTGTCCCTATGTCCTTAGCCCCTATATGGAGTTGGGACAGTGCTGGAATCTAATAGTTTTCAGTAAGTATTTGCCAAACACCCCAGAGGTGAAATATCAAAATTAAATAAAATATATCCTACATCTTATACATTTTAACTGATGAAAACTAAAAGAGAAAATATTGAAGGCAGACAGATGGGAAATAAGAGACACATTATATGGAAAGGCAGAGTGTTAGGGCATAGGCACTGATCTCCAACACTAGAAATCTAGTATTTCTCCTCCTTCCTCTGGATGTCCATGAACACCTTGATGCAATAAGGACCACAGAGCAGCAATTTCCTTTTTCTCTAAGTGCTCTTGGTTCCAGGACCACAGAGCTGTCTACACTGCCTGTTCTCAAGGGTGAGAATTATAAAAGACTTCTTATCAGAAACTATGCAAGTCAGAAGGTGATGGAGTGACATCTTTAAAGTGCTGAGACCAAAAAAGTCAAACTAGATACAATTTTGTATCCAGCAATAAGGTATTTCAAAAATGAAGGAAGGATGGAAGTATGGCTCAGGTGGTAGGCTGCCTGACTTGCAAGCATGAAGCCCTGAGTTCAAACCCCAGTTACACACACACACACACACACACACACACACACACACACACACAAACCAAAAAAACACTTTCCAACAAATAAAATCGAAAAGAAATACACTGCCAGCAAACCTTCATTTCAAGAAATGATAGCAGAGGTTCTTCAGACAGAAGGAATATGAGACCAAAATACACTGGTTTATCCCCAAAAAATGAGCAAAGGAAATGGCATAAATATAAAACACATTTTATATTTTAAATTGCTTTTAAACACCACTGACTGACTGAAGCAAAAACAGTTGCGATATATTGTGTGTTCAAAGAATACACAGAAGTAAATAATGATAACAATGCCACAGAGGAAAAGGAGAAGGAATGGGGAATATAAGGTGTAAGGCCCTCACTGGGCATGTGAAGTCATCTAATATACTAATTCCAAGGTAAACCCTGGGCAACCACGAAAATTACAAAAACAGTCCGCTTTCTTATACCTTTTTTTTTTTAATCCTGATAAGCAACCTCTTACATTTATTAAGTGCAAAGCTTAAAACATTTTGGGTTTATAGTTTCCAAAGAAAGACCTTTTATATGTACTTCCCTTTTTGGTTTCTACAGCAATCCTTGGTTTCTACAGTTTCTTAACTCATGATAAACAAATGGCCATTTTGAGTGGTTAAGGGATTTGCTGAAGGACATAGTCACAGAATTGGAACTAGAAACCAGGTGGGTTTTGTTTACCTACCATTAACTAGAAGTTAGTGCTACTAGCAAGCACTCTGCAAATTACAATGACTTCCTTTCATTATTCATATATGGAGTTCAATTAACTTTCTAAAATTAGTTATTTAAAGACCCACTAAAACCATTCATAGCTTATTTCCTGTGACTAAAAAAGATACTTTTAACTGTTTTGATGCCAGTTGCTTAAAGACAGGCTAGCCAGTGTTATTCAGAAACACTGTCTGCTTATATCAGGTTGCTACGTATTTTCTCACTTAGATACAAAGTTCCCACCCACCAGCAGTACACAGGGAGAGAACTAATAAACTGAACTTTATGTTTACAAAGGAGGTGAATACACCACTTTGCCCTCTAAATTTGAGGGCTCAAGTCTTCTTGGAAGGAAGCAGAGGGGTAGGTGTGGGCCTGGAAGTGGGTAGGGCAGGTAAACGCTCAAGGAAGCAGACAACACCAGCTGGGATAGTGACAGATGGAGGTGAAAAGCAGAACCAATGGGATGCTTCTTGATTGGGTGATTATAAAATGTGTTTGGGGTCAATAAGTGTTCTTTTTTTTTTTTTAAGTAGCAATATAACGTAAAAACAAAATATGGGAGAAACATGCACCATTAACCTGAAGACTACCAGGAATTATGGACTTCAACAACATTTCAATTTACAACTGCTCCTGGAAGTCCATACAAGCAGATGTGGAAGACAGAGATGCTTTCTTGCAACCCAGTTCTTCCTCTCTTTGGCATCTCTCCATGTAGGTGACCTGGCAGCAGGGGACTTCTACTAGGCTGTCCCACAGAGATAGCAAAGCTGATTCCCTGTTCTAGCCACAAACTCCTCTGCATCAGCACCCTGCATTGCTTTGCTTTTCTCTGCTCAGAGTCCACCCCTGATACCTCCTCAGGGGTCGTGTGTTATCAGTGGTTCCACAGTCACATCTCCCTTTAGTTCTAAAAACAACATGGCCTACTTTCTGTAACCCTGTCCCCTTTGTCTTACTGTTTTCCCTTCCTCTTCTTTTCCTTCCATAAACTCACGTCTTTCACTCAGCATACACAATTCATGTCAGGGCCACACTACAGTGAGAACCACTGTCAACATTTCCAGTAACCTCTTAGTTACAGAGTTCAACAAAATTCTTTAGTCTTGTTCATGGAGTTTTGTGGCCTTTCCCTTCAGCTTCTGGGACATTTGCTCCTGGATTTCCACTAGCTTCTTTGACTGTCCATCCCCTTTCAATGTCCTCTTCCTCTACCAGTTTCTTGAAAATGCATATTTCAACTTCCTTCTTTGAACCTCTCTTATCCTATACATAGTCCTGAAGATTACACTCATGGCCCTGGCCTCTACTACCACCTACTTGTTCTTACTCAGTATAGTTATGTGCTGCATAAAGATGTTTCAATCAACAACGAACCACACGCATGCTGTAATTTTCATAAGATTATATTGCCTAATGAAGACTCAACCATTTCAGTTCATGTAACTATACTCTACACACAATGAGGATATCTCCTAATGCCAAATCTCTCAGTGTATATCTCCGTTTAACAACACATAGCTGCACATGTCTTCAGCCCAGCCCTGTGTCCTAGTAGGCATGATGACAGACACCCCAAATCCAGCCTCTTTTCCTGAAGCCTAATCAGCCTCTCCCTTGTTTCTGTCTTGGTAGTGACACCGTCTCCCAGGCACTATACCACAAAGCCGAGCCAGGCCAGTTACTCGCTGTTCCATGGCATCTACTTAAGGTCTGGCTTACTTCCTTCTGGCATTTTACTCAGATCTGTACCCTTCAGCCATTTCCATGATCACTGCTTTACTTCATTAACACCACTCTCACCTGTCTCTCTGCAAGAACCTTTCAGCTATGAACATCTCTAATCCAGAGCCCCTACACCTCTGTGCTATGGATCCCTTTGGCAGTCCGGAGAGGCAAAGGTCTTCTCAGTGTTCATTCTGGAATATCTGCAACAATTGCAAGGTGAAATGTAAAAATCTGTGATTTCTATGGGGCATGTTGCCTACATTTATAATTGGAGGGCTTGCTACATCTTAGTGAAGGCTTAGTGAACGTAAAGATGCATCAAGGGGATAAGGCTATAGCTCAGAGGTTCAGCATGAGTTTAGCACACATGAGGCCCTGGATTCAATCCCCAGAGTGGGTGCATGGGTACTCAGGTGTGTGCCTGTGTGCACGTGCGCACACACACACACACACACACACACACACACACACACATTTTTCTATTCTAGTTCAACAGCTCTCTGAGTTCAATAAATAAACCCAGGTTAATCCATTCAATTCTGATGGTTTCTAATCCATCTTCTACCTTGAAACCACAATAATCTTTTAGAAAAGGAACTCTAAACTTACATGTAAAAATCAGGATTACAGTATCAATTTTTTCAACACTCCTCTTTCCCTTCACATTTTAGTCCCTCAAATGGACCATGCTCCTGTCTTCATGGTGTCTCCCTCCTTTTTTTTCTTTTTGTCAAAACTTCCTTGCTTTCCTCCTGAATGTGCTAACTTCTATCCATCCTTGGAGATCCATTCTCAGATGACTTTCACCAACAAAGCTCCCCTAACCCAAACCCTCCACCTGAGAAGCTTGTGACCTGTTTTTCTCCCATTCCCCATAATCCTGTGAGCAAGCAAGCAGGCAAGGTCCAAAGTATTACAAGCAACATCCCTGGGCTAGGTCTCCCACCACACTAAGAACCCTTTCAAGAAATGTCTTGCTTGTTGCTGGATTCTCAGCATTTTAGAATGAGGTCTGACATAGGAGTCAGCTAAAAGAAACAGAGATTTGGGAAGTGATTCAATATGGGTTCCACTGGGAGAAAATATTTAAGTTTCTGTTTTGCATTTAAGTAGAAGAGGGTCAAGACTGGAGATTACCAACGGGCGAGCAGTTCACTACTTCCTGGGCTGCCCATGTTGAAGAAACTCGAACTACTGAGGCTGAAGATGAACTCTCCCTGGCACTACCTGCCATCTAGGTTTGAAGCCTGAGTTGTATTTCTCGGCATGCAGTGACTCTCTCCCTGAGGTTTTATTTGCAGCAAACACGTGGGTGGATACCAGGTTCTCTAAAACAAAGATGAAAGTGGCTTTTGAAAGTGGCTCAAATCAATGATTATGTCTCTCTTCTTTAGCTGCACTCACATCTTCAAAAATACTTAGCTTCACCCGTCACGTCGTGCATGTATTTTTAAATAGGGTGAAGCTCATGGGAGAGCATCCTTGTTCATTTCTTCTCCACGCTGGCGCTCCAGGCTATGTACTAAGATAAACAGAGAATCTGGTAAAATCCCTCACCAGGCAGTAGAAAGGAGCCATAACCAGGTCACAGATCCATCATTTGATAGGTTTAGCCTGGTAGGTTGTATCTCTAACTCTGACGAGCGCTGCAAGCCCAACACCACTGTTGCTGGGGCCAGGTGATAACACCAGTGAACTGGTGGATACCTGGGGCTAGTGACAATGAAGGTGAACTGGTGGGCAGTAGGAGAATAATTTTCTTCGGACATGGCAGATCTTTTTATTTTTTTATTAAAAGCCCTTAAAAGGTGTCTCCTTTTCTGCAACTTTTTTTCTTTCATGATCAAGCCAATTTACATAAATTTTAAATTACTTTATCCTTTGCCACAAAAAGAACCTAGAAAATAAATGATCAAAACCACACAGACCTTCCCTGCCTCATGAACAAGGGGCTGGAAGCAACTGTGAGCAGCAGAGTGCACAGTTTGACTTCCAGGGAAGAAACTCATAGGAAAAGCAGTTTCTTGTCTAATTCTAGTTCTGCTGGACAGGAGGCAGGTCACTGGGCTCTCTTCCCACCCTAGCACCAAATGGCTCTGAGAGCTAAGACAAGAAGCTCCTCCGGGCCTACTTTTCCTTAGTGCAAAAGGGAGCCCAGACTTGATGACGCATCCAGGGCACACAGTGAAAGGTCTACAGGCTCTTTTCAATATTTTGAAAAATCTAACAGACAGCGTGTGCCCCCTTCTCAGAGATCACTAAACCGGAGATTTGGCTTTCTCCTGTCTAGAATGACATCAGCTCAGCTCATGAGAACTTCATGTTGCCATCCTTTGATGGTGCTCCCTACAACCTTGTTTAGTGCAGAAGGAACAAATAGTGTGACTGTAAATGCTGCTTTGTGGAAAAGCTTCAGACCCAGGAGGGGAAATATTTGGGAAAACAAGGGACTTGGAAAGCTTGGGTACATTAAGGAAAGCTGCAAGCAGTTGCTCCTTTCCTTGCTCCAGGGCCAGGGCTACAGGGCAGAGGAATCTCACTGTTCATCTTCCCATCCGTGCCAGACCGCAAGAGACACCATGATTAGGAGCAGGGAAGGTACCTGTTCCAGGCGGCACTTGAGCACGGCCCACTCCACATCCCAGGCAGCCTTGTCGCTGGCATACTGCTGCTGCAGCCTCAGGCGGGCGTGCTCGTCCTCCCGAAGCTCTGAGCGGAAGTCCTCTAGCAAGGCCTTGAGGGCACTGAACAACTGCTGGTTTTCCACCACCTGTAGAAACAAGGAGTCAGGCTCAGCTCCCTCACCCAAGTGAATCTGTTAGGCAGGAAAGGGAGAGGCTCTGGTAGTCAATGGTGCTGGGTCTGCTTCTCAAGTGCCCAGGCCAAGGATGCAGGGTGGGCCAGGGTCTGTAATTGGTGGGTGAAAGCATTATGGTTCCATTGCTGGCCAAAGACCTGCTGGGCATGAGAGCAAGGGCTTGTTGCATCAAGAAGGCTGAGAGACGGAAGCTCCTAGCTACTGGGCAGCTGTAGGCCACCAACAGAGGTGTTCTGGGCCCCAAAGAGTAGAGGCAAGGAAGCCGCAGGAGGCCTCAGGGTACCCCAGAAGGCCAGGCTGCCCAGGACACTCTGTGGAGCTTCAGATGACTACAGTTACGAGTTGGGCAGCCACTGTGTCATGGGACTGCAGATATGACAAGATATACTGACTTATCTCTATACACGCTATCAACTGAGTGCTAGCTGTTGACCTAGATGGGAATTCACGAAGTCCTAGTGATTCTCATAAACATAGGGTGGTCAGCCTCTAACTTGTGGTTACTAGGAGGTTAGGTCAATACCAAGCATGGCCATGAAGGGAAGGGTGAGATGGTTCCTAATTAAAGCCAAAAGTGAAATGCTTAACCTGCCTGTACAGGCTTGGTTGTGGTCCCCTGAGGTTGAGTTACCGACCCCACCTTCATGCCTCTCAATCTTCTGCCCTTGACTCACCACCCTCATGGGTAACAAGCACCTCTACTTGTGTCCCTTGTTCCTGTCCCACCACCAGCACCACTACTCTTCTTATCTGAAGAATCAAGCCTTACTCACCCTCACAGTACTGAACACAATCCTTGGCTCACATTAAGCAAACACATGAAGAGTAGGCTTTTATTATTGATCTGTTTATTCCTCACATAAAGAATGCTGATGCTAGATTTTCTTAGCCTAGGCCTTTGAAAGCAAAATCTGAAACCCTGGTTTCTATCATAATATATGCACCCAAGGGTATTACATCAGAATGTTTGTCCAAATCAATCAGGCACAGAGTTCTATGCTAATACAGAGCATGTGACCCCCACTCCCAATTAGACAGAAAGCACCCAAAGCAGATCCCAGTTTCCAGGGGTGGTCTCAGTGGTGCTTGATTTATGAAGCAAGAGGAGCAAAAATCACAAGTTCTGCTGCATGGAGATAAGCTCTAGCTCAGGAAGACAGAGACAAACTCAGACAGAAGCCTCCGTCCATGCTCAGTCAACTCACTTGCCCCACTGAACAAGTGCGTTGGAGCCCCACTTTAGGTTCTGTACTTCAGCCATGCTTCTCAGACCCTCCACTATGTTGGATGAGTTTAAGATACACTGGATATGTGTTTAGATTTAAATACAGTTGAATTAGAAAAGAAAAATTATTTAACATGAGCAGATTAACTAAAAAGTCTATAGTTGCCCTATAATTTAACTGAGGAGTTGTAATATCAGATGCAGTGGATTTTGGTGGAGTAATAAGGCCTACTTGTTAGCATTTATTGCTCTTTAATTTTTCTCACCTTGAACACCAGTTTTTACTTGGGACAAAAGACATTAAGAGTATAATTCAGTTAACACTTGAAATATCCAGCAGATAGAGAATCTTCTGAAAGGTCCTGCATATTCTTTCCAGCCATCTGAGTTAATAAGTGACCACTATTCTTCTGGAGATAGATGCTCATGAACTGTGTGGAGCTATAATAAATGCAGAACAGTTTTTTTTAAATTCCACACTTAAAGACCTAAAAATCACGTAAGTGTGGAAAACAAACAAACAAACAAACGAACCAAAAGGTGTCATAACAATCCTCAGAAATATACATCTTCAGAGTTGGGCATAGTGGTATATACCTATAATCCTAGCACTCAGCAGGCTAAGGCAGGAGGACCGAGACTTAGAGGCCAGCATAACCACCCCCCCTCAAAAAAAAAAAAAAAAGAAGGGAGGGAGGAAAGGATTGATTATACATCTTCATATAGAATTTGCTGAAAATTATGCATTTTATGATAGATTTATTTAGTAGTTTTGTCTTTGATCTTTAAATAAAAAAACCACAATTTTTTGAGACCAAAGAATTTTAAGCATAAAATAATGTAATAATTTTGATCCAGTGTGTGGAGCAGTCATCTAATTTTCATTGAAGAGAGAGCAGAGAACCATATAATAGGTTCTTATATGTAATCAATAGCTTTCTGTGAATCCCAAGTTGCATATAGTCTCAGTCTGTGCCATTCTCAGTCCCTATACCACATGACTGCTAATAGCATTAGAAGCAGAACTTTATAGTACTTTTGCAGATTGAAAATTTGGTCTCTCTGGACACAAAGCAGATACTTTTTGGCATTAGCAGATATCAGAGTCAATAAAATTAAGTCTTTATGTTTTTATGCACATTTGGTTCAGAGTAATCAACATAATGTGCCATGTTCCCAGGACAATATTAATCTTCATTCCATGAAGATTAATACTGCTCAGGGGTGAAGGTGGCCAATGGGAGCGAGAGACTGGAGAATGGATGCTACTGGTGCTTGTTATCATAATGACCTAGGAGCAGTGTGTGGCACGGCAGGGCACCAGGGTGGCTTCTGTTGTGAATACATCACAGCCAGAATGAGAAGACGATGGTATCAACATGAGGCAGGATAGATAGGGAAAATGAGGCATGAGAAACAGCTGCCAGGAATTCAGAGATAAAGACTGGATTAATACATGGCTTGATTAAAAGCACACAGGCACTATTTTCCTTGCTTCAAGCCTTATACCTCTCAACAAGCTACAATATTTAGTGAAAAAAAGTTGGGCGCGGGGGGCAGCTCTCTCCCTCTGATCTTGCCCACTTGCCCCAAAATAATTAGTGCACTCTGAGAACTGAGCAAGGGTATCTTAAAGAAAGGTACTTATCCTCTGGAAAACACCTGGCTAAATGATTCCTCTAGGTCCAAGAAATGTTTACAAAGATGACACCTATTTTAAAGGGAGCATCCTTTGAAGTCCCTGGGCCCAAACACTGTTACACTGATAAAAGTGTAACAGCAAGAATGATTAAATACCTCAGATGTCAGAACAGAGGGGAGTACTCTTCCTAAAATAAATTCAAGCCAAACTCCAACCCACTTTTTCACCATAAATACCCCTAAGGTTGGAGCACTCACTGCACCTATTATCAAATGTGCCCGCACCCATGTCTGGGTTGTATGCTATGTTTCTATCTTTCCTTGCTTTGCTTTACTAATAAACTTTCTTGGTCTCTATCTCCATGGGTCCTGAAGTCCTTTTTTGAGACAACATCACGAATGTGGTACCCAAGGGCCAAGTGGAGTCCTCTTCCTGTTAGAGACCTCCTCCCTGAAGTGTCACCAGTTCTAGTAGCAAACATATCTGGAGACCCTAAATGAGTCATGGGAGGACATGATTGTTCTAAATGATTTTTATCTGCACACAAAAAAACCAGTAATGGTAATCATAGCATTCATTGTTTCCTATGGGCCAAGAGGTGTGTTAAATTTTCTCCCTACATGACTTTCACACCAATCCTTGGTGCATATTGATTGTCACATTCCCCATTTTACAAAGGAGGAACTGCACCTTACAGCATCTCAATACTGCTGAGGTCCCACTGCCGCGGAAATAAAAGCATGAGCCACAATCCAGGTCTGCCCCCACACATCCAGGCAAACCAGGCCGGGTATATTCACATTCTGACATTGCACTTTGCTTTAGAAAAGCCATCTAATGCTATCTCTCTTGTCAAGGAGAATAATCACAGTGAGCCATGCTGAAAATATGTCTAAATCTCACTTCTCTCTTTTTTTTCTGGGTAAACTTATCATTATATTATTTAAAATTAATCATTATATTTTTAAAAATTGGGAGTAAACAGATGACCCAAGTCAAGGCCAGAAACAAATTAAAGCTGTAGTCCACTTAGGTTTCTACATAAAGTCATTTGGATGCAAAACTTCTTGAACCTTTCATGGCAGGGGCCCAGGTATGCAACCTTTTGGTTTGTACATTTAAGTATCCATCAATTTTAACTCAAAAATCAAATTTTTCTGCCTCTTCAGAGATCCACAGACTGGGTTTCCAGCAAGGGAGCAGGATAAAACAGCTTTACTACTTCTTCTTCCTCCATCTTAGGGCATTTCAGCCCTTTGTAGCTCATCTCTCTTGGGTGAGGCTTAAAACAATCCTAAGATTGAGATTATAAACTTGACTGTGCTGCGTGTCACGTTTTATAACAGGTTCAAGGTTGGCATTCAGTCAATCATCCTGCCTGCAAGTCTATAATACTATTCATAGAAAGAGAGAAAGGAGTATGGATAAGGTGTTATACCAAGATATCTGTCATATAATGACAGCAGTTCTTATTTCTAAGACATGTGTATCAGGTAGAATCTTAACTCCATGAGAGCAAAACCACCATTAACTCTGCTTGGCTCACCTCAGAGCCACGAACTTTGGTGTCAGGTTTAATCTAAAGGTGAAATGGATATACTGACACTCTGCTATGGGCAAACCCACAAAAAGCCAGTCACAAAACAGAGGTGAGGGCCTCTACCTCCTGTTTATTTAAGCTATTCCACATAGGCCAAGAAATTCTGCAATACTCAGATAGCTGAACCACCCCCACGCAGCATTCCTTAACGGCAACTCCTCTACCAGCAGGAGTCCTAAGAGAAGACCTTCGCTGTGAGATCTGCCAGAAATCATACACCTGCAGGAACATTTTTACAAGAAGCCATTTCTCATTCTCACTTCCATCGTTACATTCAGATAAACTGTAAGATCCTTTTCTAAACCATTATGCCCCTCCCCCTGCAGATTAAAGAGAATAGGCCATTGAAGACTAATCTGTAATGGAAGCTGCAGGAATGAAAGATTACTTATGTACAGAAGTCATCTGCCCTCTGGCCAAGAATGTGCCACGGTTTCCCAGCCAGGAGGGCTCTGTGCCTGAGGTCTTCATAATTTTCGCCAAGAGCTTCCCAAGAATAAATACAGATGTGTGAAAGCACCAATGAGGCCCATGTTTAATAGGTCATAAACACTGAGTTACCAGCTCACAGACTCAAGCAATCATGGCTGGTCTGATGAAGTCAGGTGGCCTTTTGGGAAGAAGTCACTGATTGGTGAGTATAAAGCTCTGCTGCCCACTTTAAACTGCTGACTGTGGTGAACACTAGGAAGGAAATGGGTGGGGAGTCCTTTCATTGGGCACCCTTGGACACATGAATTTTTACCTATTGTGTAATGGAAGCAACAGCAAATCACAACAAAGAGCAAATGTTTCAGGATTGCAAGCTCTGGTCTAGTTCCTTATACCCTAAGTAACCTGTCTCCTGTAAAGCTGCAGAGCCTCAAGAATAAACCATGGTACAATACACAAAACTGGAAAGTAAAAGCTATCCAGGCTCCAGGGGGAAACCTTCTTTTTTCTTCTTTTTTTTGGCGGGGAGGGATAGGGTAGGGGGGATTGAACAGGGTCTAGCACATGCTAGGCAAGTACTCTATCACCAAGCTACAGCCCCAGCCCTTGATTTATTTTGAGACAATGTCTCACTATATAGCCCAGGCTGGCCTCGAACTCGTGATCCTTTTATTTCCAATTCCCAAGTGCTAAGATTATAGCTGTGCACTAAGAGCTGTGGCTAATGAGAGAACTTTATTGTGAAACAAAAAATAAATAAAAATAGGGTGGCTCACAGTTCTAATCTGCAGGCCTCATCTGTCCGAGGTACTCTTTCTGGAAAGTTTTTTTCCTTGTCCTGCACAGACAGAAAGCCAGACTATAGCTACTGGAGTGGGTCAACATCCAGAAAGACCAGGGAACCAAAGGCTCTTTAGCTGGAAAAGAGTCTGACTTTTAGGGCAGCCCCTCAAAACCCTAACACTGCAGCTTAGCTGTTGGGCCAGGGACAAAGGCCCTTAGATTCCCCTCAGGCCTGAGTCACTCTGCAGTGACCAGCAGCAGGTGATGCCTTAAAGACAAATAGAACATCATTCCTTTAAGCTCCTGCTGTGAATTTTACATTAGGCTCTCCACATTTATATTCCATTGTTTTAATAAAGAGTATAAATCATGTCCCATCCCCAAGTGAAAAAGTGACTTTCTCTTTTAATTAATTATCCTGATGCCCAGAAGACTAGCTGTTGGAACCACAGGGTCACAATTCTGGCACAAGTTACTTGTGTTTCAAACCTTGACTTCAGGAATGACTAAGTCTGAAATGCATAACCAGCCTTAGGAACGCTGGGCTCAAATGTCCAAGAGTGGCAAGCAGACGGAGTTGTTTGATGAGAACTGTTCAGCTGGCTCCTGCATGCTCTCAGCCTCTGTTCTTCCCAGCAGCAAGGCCAACTGAAAGCGCTTACTGTGCTCAAAAACAACCAGGTCACTGCCATGAGGCCTGTAACTAAAGATTGGAAAGCAGGAAACATTTGCAACTCAATGTTTTTTTCTGAACTGTTCTCAAAATAGGTTGTTCATTTTTTTTAAATATCTCTGGACACGATAAATGTTGCCATCCACAGCTTCCTACTATAAGAATGTACAACCTAGCACAAACCAAAGACTGAGGCCTGAGAAATTTTGCCACTTGCTCATTTATCCTTGGGAAAGCAATCTAGCCACTTTTCCCATGCTGCTTGCTGCTCCATGAGGCTCTCAGGGTTTCTGAAAAGGCCCCGGTTCTGTACAGCAGCTCCGCTCTGCAAGGCACACGCACTGGCTCTTGCTTCCAGGCTGCCTGACTAATACCCAGGCCACTCACAGAGAAGCAAGCCTTCTAATCAAGAATGTTCAGTTTCACTGAGCCAGCTGTCTCTTAAAGTAGAGCTCATAATCTTCTGCCGTAAGGTGCGTGGCATTGCGCACACAGAGCTTTGCTTTCACCGCTGTGGACAGGCAGATCCAGTAAAAGGCAGGCCTGCTTCTCACTGTCTGGATGCTACCGTTTGTGGTAGAAAGTCATGTATCTGTCCCTGCTTTTAAGGGTAATCACTAAAAATCAGTGTTGGAAGGAGCAGAAGGCAAAGGGAGATAACATTTAATGGAAGGTTCCAGCTGTATGGCTTTACATTATTTTCCTTCCCAAATGTAACATTTTCCATGACTGTTGTTTAGAAAACCAGATGTGTTACATTTTTTCCCTTTTCCAAAGCATTTGGATGCACACATGGGACAGGTCTGATTGATAACATCTCTTTTAGAAATAATAAACTTACTAGATTTGAAAGAATTATTCAAAAAGTAACGTTGTAGTTTCTAACAAATCACTGCTGGAAAATTTACTCCATGATCTAAAATCTCCCCATGGACACTGGCAAAATGACACACTTCCTAATGACTGTGAGTAAAGACTCCTTTCAAAGTATAATCTCCTTCCTGAGGCACATTATTTAGGGAGAGAGAGGGGGCTGGGACGTATATAGAAAGCTGCCATTTAGATGTGCATGTCTGATCTGTACATGAAGAGAAAGCTTGGGGGAAATCAAGTGTCCCCTTAGCCTACACTCAGAACATTACTGCTCCTCCTCATCTGCATCTGGGCCAGAGTCCTGACGACAACCTTTTCCCACGTGACCCACGGGACCCTGGGTGGAGGGGGCTCGTGAGAGAGGTACAGCAGCTGCAGAGTCCCGCACAGAGGGAGTGTGCCAACATGCCTGTAGCTGAGAGGCTAGCCACACCCATGTCCAGCCCTCACCCCAACACACAGGGCATCCCTCAGGTGGGGGCTTTACGCTTCATTGTAGGAGGTCTCTGAGAAGCAGAGCAGGTCAGAGGGACTCAGAAGTCCCTGCAAGAAAGCTTTCATACAGGGTCCTTTCGGGATCTCAGTTTTTCAAGTCTATTATAGCTGCCATTTTATATAAAACAGCAAAGAAAAATGTTCTTTATCAAGCGGATCTTTTAGTCTATTAAGCAGAATCTAGTTCTGTGCTGCTTGATGACACTAATTATTACATAGGAACACTGAAATTCCACCTTACTCTATACATGCTTTGATTTTTCCAAGGTGTTATCAAATATTTTTATTTGGGGCATTATGTTTCAACTGGCTAAAGAGAACCTGAAATACTTTATACATATTGGGAATTTAAATAAAAAGTACTTGTTCTTACTGCCTAATAAACTAAATCAGTGATGCTGGCAATGGGCTTTCGGCTAAATATCAACATAAAAGCCTGTCAGCTCTTGTTCTGTGTGCTGTGAGCACTGCATTCTTCATTTACTCTTATATGGAAGAATGACCAACCATAATGCTAAGCATACTGGGGTTTGAACTGGACACTTTGTGCTTGCAAGGCAGGCGCTCTACCTCTGGAGGCACACCTCAGCCTCAACCATAGTTCTGTAGAGTATTTTTTTCCTTCTGAAATAAGTTTTCTGGGTTCAAGGGGGACATAATAAATCTACTCTTACTAATTACATGAATAAACCAAATGAGTTCATGGGTTGATATTAACATAAAAGATGGAATGAAGTGATTTCTAGCAAAAATCTAGCATCACAAACAGTAACTGGTAGCCAGAGTCAGGTAGAGGACTATTATGTGACTGGGAACACCACAAACATGGCTCGGGAGCCTCCTCTACTGGGGTGGACAAAATGATGTAGATCTAGGTACCCACCTGCCTATTGAGTTGTCCCCCATCTGCTGTCTGCAGCCGCGAACCATGGTCACCAATCTGCACTGGGCTGTGTGGGGAATGCTCCCCCATCAGAAAGTCACAGCCTTGGTCACCATCATCTCCGTCTGGTCCATCTGCCTGATGACCCCCCTGGACTTCTAGCTCACCAAGCCCAGGGAGGGCTTCTGGATGCTCACTCTGAAACCAGCAACAAACGATGATCATAGTGTGTCCTTTTGTGATTTTTTTTTCTTTCTTTTTTTTTTAGACAGGGTCTGGCTATGTAGCCATGCTGGCCTCAACCTCCTAGGCTCAAGCAATCCTCTCAACTTAGCCTCCTTAGTACCTGCAACTACAGGCAGCATAATCTTTATTTTTTGAGAACAGCTATCCACCGTAAGGAGTATCAAATCTTTTCCTTGTCAGTCTTTGCCATTTCCCTCATTTAAATAGCGTAAGGTGAGGCTAGATTTATTAGAAAAGGCTAATGAGAAACGTTAGTTCTTAGGAAGGAATGAGTATTGCTTACAGCTTCAGCTTTATAAATTGGAGGAGGAGGAATTCCAGAGTACTGATCGACAGGAAATCTTACAACCTTTTCTAGGCTTGGCTTAAAGATGGTTTTTGAATTAATTTTTAAAAGACTTTCTTCACCCAGAGGAAAGTGCATCACCATTCTCAGGATAACTTAAAATCATGTACACTGTTCACTAGAGTGAAAAGCAGACAGCAGGGCCTTGGGAACTCAAAGGAAACCAGCTGTTCACAATGCCTTGAAGCAGCCAACTGGGCAGCCTGGGTGCAGATGCACAGAATATGCACAACAGAGATTCAAGCCCTACGCTCACCAGGGAACAAGTCTGCAGAGCTAGAGGTCACTGTGACTTCACAACAGGAAGTCAGTAAGAAAGCAAAAAAGTCTTTTCTGTTGCTGTTTTCAATCTGGGACTTCATACACAATGGGAAGAACACAAACAAACTTCTTAAGTGACAAAGTAACTAGTGTGAGGCTTAGGAGAGAAGAGACCCTTAATGAACAAGCATACCAGGTATGGTTGTGCCTGCCTATAATCCCAGCTACTTGGCAGGCGGAAGCAGAAGGATAGAAAGCTGGAGGACAGCCACGCAAAGTTAGTGACTCTATCTCAAAAACAAATGAAAAATCCAAAGGACTGGACATATAGCTTAAGTGGCAGAGCACTTGCTGGGTTCAATCCCCGTGTCATGGCTTTAATCTGGGAACATAAACTGAAATGGAAAAAGAGGGCAAACATTTTAGAACCAAATTTTATAAACCAGCAAGGTTGAATGAGATGGTAAAGGACCTCAGGTTGATAAATTCAACGAGTTAATAAAACAACAAAAGGAGATGACAACGATCAGAATGGAGTTACAGTCCAGGATACTCTTTGAAACCAGTACAACATGGAATTATGGAATTCTTGGCTTCGTGTAGACCTGGACAGGCCACTGCATTTCCATGCTTGGATTGAAATTGACAAAATAACAGGACATGACTTTGGGTACACGGTGGAGGGGAGGGGGCAGCAATGTCTAGGGTGAGAACAAAACAGATGCAAATAAAATGAAATCTACAGGCAGCGTTACCTCAGTGAAATCCTCTCCTCCCTCCTCCATCTGCTTCCCTTGCCGCCAGTGTTTGAGCAGCCACCTGAGTTTGACGTAGAAGAGGAAAATGTTCTGCTTCAAGGACCGGAGCTCCTGCTGCAGCAGGTTCTTCTCATCACTCCAGGTTCGTTCATGGAGGGTGTTCTGCAAAGCCAGGCTGTGCATCTCCAGTTCTTTCCACCTCAAGGCGTAGAGGTGTTCCTCCTCCATCTTGAACAGAAGCAAAGAGGAAGTGTGACATGCAGCTGTTCCAATTTGCTGCCCAAACACAACCAAGGGTCTCTGCAAACTGCCATACTGTCTAGACCATGTTGCACTGAGGGTGCAAAGCACAGAAGCCCCCATAAGCTTTGGGTGATTAATGACTTGAAGTGCTTACTGTGTAGAAAACCTTGAGTTCTGTGATTGAGAAGCAAGAGCTATTTAAGAGGAAGCTACTTTTCACTGTCACTCTCTCTTGGTAGTGTTAGATGTCTCTAAACCTCCTTGGGAAAATTGTTTCCTGGGTGTTCAGCTTATGGCTGACTCAGGTACCATTCAAGTAGATCTCACTTCCCTTCTATGCCTGTGCATGTCATAGGGTATATTAGAACGGCAGAGAGGAAAAGAAGTAAAAATCCATCTTTTTTACTTTCTCAGCACCCTGGCTTTCACAGCCCTGACTGAGAGCACTGAGCCAATGGAAGGTCCACCAAGAGCCATCCAGCCAGGCAGCTGGGCAAGAAGAAATTCTTTCCAAGCATGCAGGACTTGACTACATACAACATGAGTAAAAAGAAGTAATGGGATAACCTACTTTCACGTTTAAGACAATTTTCCTATTAGATATGCATGCCTCTTAGGGAAATTAAAAAGTTCCTGCATTTTTATCTTTTTGTTGTTGATCTTCTGAGCTCAAGTGATCCTCCTGCTTCAGCCTCCTAAGTGGCTGGGACTACAGGCATGCCACCATGCCCAAGCTAAGTCCCTATTTGTTAAACACCTGTCTGGCACTCTTCCAAGCAATTACCAATTATTATATATCAATATATAATATTATAATTATATAATAATAATTATTATATAATTATTATAATATTATAAGCAAAGGATGCAAATAAATTCTAATTTTGCAGATCTGGGCACAAGAGCAATCTCTATAGTAGCTTAAGGGATACATGAGATCAAAGGTTTCCACATCAGAGACCTATATGACAGTTAGAATGGCCTTATCATTACTACCAGCTGTCCTCTTATGCCAAAAGCCAAGGCGGTGATTCCTTCCCCTAAAATACTAGAGTAATTCTCAGGAACCCTGGAATGGGACTATGGTTTCCTGTGGGGGACACCAAGATGGCTGATGTGCTCCACGGAGGCCAGTCCTGAATAACAAGGTAGCTCTGGGAAGGTCCCCAAGTGCTGTCCTAACACAGGCTCCACAATGTATCTCAGGCTGAAAAGACAGAAAACGGTGATTTTATTCACCACCTCAGCAGCCTTCTGAGTTCTGCTATTGGTTGTCCTCTGTACACACCGGTATGGTCCAGAGTGGGGGGCAACCTGGTACCCTGGAAATCCAGTTTCTGAAGCTCCTGCCTTGCTTTCTTGCTCAGCCACCAGCTCCCAGGAGGAAAGCTTCAGCTTCCTCAGGGGCACCATGAAAACAACACAAGCTGTGTCTGTGGAAAAGCATTGAGACTCAGGTACCATACCTCATGCCCTTCTCTGCAGCACCCTGTTCAGGCCCTCCTGGCCCGCTCTACTCTCTCCCACTGTTCAGGCCTCCAAGTGCCTCCCAAATCTCAGAACTTGGTCCTCTGCCCCCTGGAGACTTTAAGGGACACTTTCTCTGCTTTTTATTATTATTGTTGTTGTTCTACTGGGGTACACTGTGACAGTTACAAAAGTTCTGACAATATATCACAAATATATTCACCCCTTCCCTTCATTTCTGAATAAGCCTGGAGGACAACTTCTCCCCACCTCTAAGGCTCTTCATCCAACACACTCCTTCCTCGAGAACCTGAGTGTCATACCTGGGACCCTGCCACGATGCTCACAGCATCTCCAGTGACAAATCCCCTTTCAAGCCACTTTTGGTGCCATGCCAAATAAAAATTTTAATTAGGAATTTATCTCTCATATAACATGGAATTATTTTCCTCTACTAATGATATGTGAAAGTTGACCCGTAAGCGAAGTACTTGACACACACACCTCACGGGAGTGGACAGCAGAGAACACTGAGAAGCTGGTCTTCAGCTCTGCCCTCCAGGTCTCCAAGGTGCAGCAGATGCTCCCTTAGTCTATCTGTGGCCCACTCAGCTGAACATGGCTTTGGTCTCCATGAGGCATAAGCATATAGTACATATTTCTTGCCAAAATAAAGTCCTGGATACACTGGGCACTTCATTTTGCACAGTGTATGCATTTTATAACATCAGGTACATCACTCAAGATCAACTGCTTTATTGTTTGGTTGTACTGGGCTTTGAACTCAAGGCCTCCGTAGGCAGATACTCTACCACTTGAGTTACTCCCCTATCCCTTTCTACTTTAGATACTTTTCAAGTAGGATCTCTGCCTGGGCTGCCTGAACTGCAATCCTCCTATTTATGCCTCCCAATAGCTATAATGACAGGTGTGTGACACCATGCTCAGTTTATTGATTCAGACAGGGTCTTGCTTTTTGCCCGCCTCCTCAACTTCTTTGTTTCATTTCAAACATACTGCTATCTTCCAAGAACAAACATAAAGGGAGAATAACAAGTTACAGCAATTCTGAGCTAGGTCGGTGGTCTCAATCAGATCTACAGAGACTCACTGTCCCTGGGAGGTCTGAAGCTAGCAGTGCTGCATGTGGGAATCCCTTCTACTGCCCTTCTAATTCTGGGAAAGAACTGGTGGACATTAGCCTGTAACAGGTTATACTAAGATAGCTAGGAGTTAATCAGGCCACAGCTCAACTTTTGGCAGTTCTTCAAGACAACAGTATATGTTTCCATCAGAAAATTCACTTAACGTTGACTAGGGTGACAGATACTTCCTGCATTGTTGCAGCTGAGGCCTTGTTTTATGACACTTTGCTGGCTGGCACTGCTGCAGGAAAAGTTAGACTAGACATAGGAAGACTCTTCCTGAGACCACAATGTGAATCCACTCTTTCATCTTATCTGACGTTTTGTTTTCTGTAGTTTGTTATCTGCAGTCCAACACAGTCCAAAAATATTAAATAAAAAAATCCCCCAAATAGGCAGTTCTTAAGTTTTTATTGTGGTTTTGTTTGTTTGTTAAGACAGGTGTCACTATGTAGCCCAGGCTAGACTTGAACTCGCAATTCTCGTTTCTCTACCTCCCAAGTGCTGGGATTACAGGTGTGTATCACCACATCAGCCATTAAGTTTTAAATAGCGTTTACTAAAGCATATTGTTATAATCCATTTATTTTATGATTATTGATGTCATTCTTTTACTGTACCTAATTTATAAGTTAAATGTTATCACAGGTGTGCATATATGAAAAAAACACAGTTCATACAAGCTTCAGTACTATTTGTAGTTTCAGGTACCTGTGAAACTACCTGAACACATCCCTCATAGATGGTGGGGAGACACACAACTGTACTAAAAAGTGTCCTACAGAGTAGAAAGGTGGACGGTTGTCTTTATAGGCCATATGGATGCCCTGCCCATATGGGTATGGGTCTTGGAGTCTATACACAATAGGCAGCATTCTTTAAAAAGCGCATCATGCATTTCTCCTGAGGGGCTCTGCAGTCAAGAATCAGTCCAGCTGAAATGTGTGCAACATATTTACCTTATGGATCTTGTTTGTAAATGTCTCTGTCTCCTCTTGATGCAGTCTGGCCGCCTGTGCGAGCTGAACCTGTAGTTCTTCTATCGATACACTCTGCTCAGGTAAAACAGGGGGGCCCCTGAGCTGATCAGTGGATAAAGGAAGGGGTTTAGTGGAAACAAGAACTCTGCCTGACGTAGTGACACAGGACAGACATGTGCACACGCCGAGACACACACAGGGATACAGCACGCGGGGGGGCTGCAGCAGTGGAGTGACTGCGGCAACCTCCTCTGGGCTTCTCACAGGACAGCCCCATGCTTCGGGTTCCATGGCTACCTGTGTGGCTTGGCAATGGGCAACTCCTCCTATCTTTCACTTCTGACCTAGGTATAAGTGGGAGCCTACCTTCTGAACTTCAGCCACCGCAACTACCAAAAACCAACTCCAGAAAAGGAAGCCCAGCTACATGAGAGGGTCCTTGCCAAAAAGGAGGCTTGGAAACATGCTACAAGTGGGAGCACCTGAGTTAACAGTGGCCACCTATCAGACAGGCTCTTAGACTCACTTCTCAAATCAGATGGGCTCTTTCTAGGTTGCACAATTAACCTGTTCATACACTTGCCTTAAGGGATTTTCCTGCCCACCAGCATGCCTTCCTTTAATCCCAGCAGTGTGGATCTGGGTGCTTGATGTTCGTGGGGTAGGGCTCCTTCCATGATGGATGCCCACACTCAAGTCTCTTAGTGACACTTGTTGCCCCAGAGAAACCACACAAAGACCTGCTCATTATACTTCAGGCTAAAAGAGGTCGAGGAATTAATATTAGTATTTTTATTGGCAAAGCTATCTTTTATGTCCAAATGGCACAAGTTCCTGAGTTTAAATACTGGTACTGCCAAACAAAACAAAATTTTTAAAAAAAGAAAAAGAAAAAAAGAAGGTAGGTAGAGAAAATCTGAGACACTGAGATTTGTCAACTTTGGGATAAAATTTTGAAAGCAAATTCACCCAATTTTAAGAAACTCGAGAACATTAAAATGTTTGATTGCTAGCTATTAGAGATTACTATTATAATCTTTTATATATAGGTCCTCTTTGAAAGGAGGCATTTCTCTATACATAGAGTTTAGAATGTGCCTCCACGTTTTTGTGTTTTCAAAGGCAGCAGCAATAAGATGTAAATTTCTGTCCTTGGAGGTTCCTGGACCAAGCTGGTAACATCAGTTCAAAGCCTGACCCTGAAAGAGACCTTCTGCTTCAACCCAGAGCCCATGCTGGATAAGCAAGTGTCCTGTTGCCTACCTTCTCCCTTCTGCCTGGCAACCAGTAGACAAATATTTCTCTTGTTTATTAATGTCTTTCCCTGTGCTTCTGGGCCCAAGGTCCTGCCTCCTGTTCCTTTGGAGACACTAAAACCCAAGGCTCCTAGTTA